AAGTAGAAAAATGAAAAAATGAAATCAAAAGAGAAGCTGTTACTGCTAGTGACGGATTCAAGCAATTTTCGGGCTTCCAATGAGGTATGGGCTCTTCTGTGTTTGTGGCGTAATCGGCCATCCCACATGAACTCTATTTGTTCTTGATACAAGATACATGGCACAGGTTATAGGACTTTAAGTTGTTGAAAAGGCGAGTGAATTAAGAACTGCTTTTTAATTTTGCTATCAAAATTCACGATAGGTCACGTGGATACGTCAGCTCCCTCTCAGGCATACCTCGACAGCGACAAGACAATGACAAGAGAATCTCACAGGCGATGTGAAGACGTCACTGAAACTGCATCGGTTATAGCCTGTAAGCTACGGGATGCCTCGAAATCGAACTATTGATTTTCTTCGTTTTAATTCTTAATCATTTGTATTCCAAACGTTTTTACTCGACAGCTTACCATTAGCGCTTCATTTTATTGAAAACCAGACTGCTCAAAAGGGAACCACCGAACTCCCCTCCCAAGCTAAAGCTTCGCATTCCCCCTCCTCTCCTTATCCTACCCTCCTCCCTCCACTACTCTCCAGCTGCCACTACAACACCTTGTGGAATGACCGGAACTGTGCTTTTAGGTGTTTATATAGCCGTTAGGGTGTATCACAATCATGCTATTACAAAATATTGGTAGTGCAATAAGAAAGAAAATAAAGGGTATAATTCGAGCTTAATTAAATTAAGGAGACTTAAGCAAACTTAGTGGTCGGTTTCGCCTCCACTCCGACGAACCACTTGTTTTCATCATCATCGGAGGCTGAGCAAGTCCTGCGAGCTACCCAGATTTGTTAGCGGGCTGTTTATTCCATTAGCTGCCTTATCACTCACTTCATTTTGCGGACGGACAGACAGACAAACATACATACACACAAACAAACCGACACACCAAGTTAGTGGTTTATATAATGAAGTGATAGTTTTATGTAGCTCAGAAATCCTCAAAGATTGTTGTTGCGAATTGTTTGCAATGGCGGATTATAAACATTAGGAAAGAAGAAGTGCTCCATTTCAACGGTGCAGGTCGTCCAGGTGATAACTTCATTCTACGTTGCTGACCAGATTCAAGTATAGATCCAAGTACTGGTGATACTGTGTGCGTTTAGCTTGATCAATTGATTGTATTCCAGGCATGGTGATATATGAACGATAGAGCAGAGCAAGGAAGCAAGACGTATCGACAACTCGAAATTGCGCATTTTTTTATACGAAGCCTCATCAAACTTTTGACTGTTATTTGTTACTCACATAGGTCTTTATGAAGCATAACAGTGTGATGGACCATGCTCAATATTCTATGAATCTTGACTTTTTTTTTCGTAGTATGCGATAAAGTAAGTGATTAAGCTTGCACGAAAATTGGCCAACGCTTTCAACTCCGCTTCCTATAAGGCCTATAAATGACGGAGTCAACACATCGACGGCAGTTCGTTGTGCAAGCATCTCGGCCCACCTTTTTCCTCAAAACGCTCATTACTCTTTCATCACTGGACCCAGAACCTGGTATTCCCATTAATTACTGGCAGAAATACCAGGTTCTGGGTCCACTGATGTAGACGGTCAGTTCTACGGCATAAAAATACATAAAGATAAAAGGGACAAAATGAGTGTCATCCGCGAAAAGCTGACGCGCATGCGTGCCCTGCTGTCGACAATCTGTTAAGAAACTTCCAATTCGGTCACTATTCGGACTCATCGAAGTTACTCAAAGAGTTGTAAACTACCAGCCGACGCCATGAAGCAAAAGAAGACTAACTAGTGAAGTCGACCTCTATATAGGGGTCCACCTGCCACTGTGAAATTGGTAATAGCGCTGTGATAGACGATTGCTTTTGGAAAGAACCTCTAAAAGTAGCCGATCCGCGTAACGACAAAATCTATCGTCATACGGTGCTGGCGCTGATTGGCGTATTAATGACACATGTTCTGGTGCTAAATTATCATAGCGCGAGTCAGATGTCGAGGGCCACTTGAGTGACGTAGCGATCGCATGGAAACATACGGCAAGTGGACGTGCACTTGAATTAGCGCCAAAAATACGGAGGGAAATTCATGCAGGCTAATTGTCCTACCAAGGAAGCGAGCGAGTATGGACGATATCTCTGTGGGTCATGAGCTTCCTTCATAACTGGGAGTTTTCCCTGGGAAGGTTTCACTGATTGAGTAGAGCTAAACAAAAATCTCCAACCTAAAACCAATTCATGGCGAACTGGCGTTGAGAGTGACTATCTAGCTACCTCTTATTGCCTAGCTATCTTTCGAGTGTCCAAGAACAGGCCACCTTCCGTCCGTTCGGGCTGATGATTCGACTCGCTTCCGAACATTGAAGGCGTTTAAATGCGCGGTGGTCAAAGTTTAGGGCTACAGGTAATTTACAGTCTGGCGCAAGGCCTAAGTGCGTGACCGCTTGACGCTGCCGAACATGCATAGCGCAAGTATAAGTAGCGCTTGCAATATTCTGTTTTGGAATGTGCTCACACACGGGGAGCCAGCCGGTGCGATACCAGAGATTCGTCTGCTGTACGCTCAAATGGTCCCTTCAGAATTTAGGAGAATTCCTCGGGAATCCTCAATTCTTTGCATAATTTTTCCATCCGGTTCGATCAGGTAACTCCAATGTCTACGATAATATGCTTCTCCTGGCGAAGATGCTTTGACTCGAAAAACCTTGGTTCCATTGATAAGCCATAATATCTTCAATAATGTCACATATTTTTAATCAGTGCAGAATGAGGGACATCCTAGCCGTCGACCAGAGTCGAGGATACGGTCAGTGACAGCAGCCAATTAGAGCGGAGCCCGCCCACCGCCGTCGTCTCCGCCTTCGGACTCCACCTCTCGTAATCCGGTGATCCGGAAGCATATCCGATTTCCCGTCGACGGTAATTCCGTTTCTACCTAACCAACTCATTTATTGTGCTTATGAAGTTTTGTTGCCGTCGTTAAAATTCGTCCGCGATTGGTCGCTCTTTCAGAGAATCGCCAAAAATTGTCTGATATTCCCTATTAGGCAGCTTGATCGTTCTTTCAAACAGCAAAGACATTTCCAGCCAAGAATGACTTCCCAGAAAGCGGATTAGGGTTCTTAAAAAGCAAGAATTGGACAGCGTAAAATGAAACGGATTCCTCTGAACGGCCTTGTAAAGTGGATTGCCTCATACGCAGATTTGTGAGTTTCAATTCCAGGAAAGTCTATTGTATCAGAAATTAGCGCGGCTTTAATGAATTCCGTAGAAAGGCGCAACTTCTGTACCTCGCGTACCAGCAGTTGTACCATGTGCTACGTCTACCGGGTACCCTCGACGGGCCTGCATCAGTTTACCTTGTTAGGTCAGACCACCAAAGATTAAAACACACCTGAAACGTAGAGAATATGTCAGTATAGTGAATAACCCTCAGGAGGGTCCTTAAGCAAGTGACCTTGGGGCTTCACCTATTTAAGCCGCATTACTGTCAGCTCAGGGTGGCAGGTGGACCTCATTGGTCGACTTTTCTAAAGGTTAGTTGTCTTTTTCTGTCCCACGACGTCGCCCTAGTAGTTTACCCCTGCTGAGCGATTCTTGTAGGTTGAAATAGTATTTGGACGGGTAGTTTCGTAAATGGCTTTCCTCTTTCCAGGCTCTGAAGAAGGCGAAAGCGCCGAAACGTAAGCCAAATAAAAGTTGTTATCAATCTTGGTTGGAGCTTATTCACTATACTGACATATTCTCTACGACTCATGCCAAGATTCATTGAGAGTCGCACATGGAAAACCTGAAAACGATTGTTTTCGTAAGTAATGATGAGCCTGAGCCTAATCCATGAGGCCTACTCTAATCTAGCTTAAATCTTCCGTGTTCTGGTGACTTCCATCTAGGAAGAGAACGAAATCTCCACCATCTGTTTTGTCTGGCAAGTAACCTGAAACTTGGTCGATTCCAACCTGAAAGTGTGCTGCAACCGCAAGATAAGAGTGTGCTGACCCCAAGGTGATGACCCCACGAATCTTTCGAGAGTGTGGATGCTTCTGGAAAATTAAGAGTTCTGGAGCTATCTTACTTCGGAATAACTGCGCTTGACCATACCTGCAGCTTTGGGACACAGTCGTGGATTAGTACAGAGTTGGCAGTCTTGGTCATTGTTGTGCGCATGAGCCGGTTCCTGAGTGCTCGGGTGCGGATTCCATTGAGGGAACCTTGCCCAGGCGTTGCATTTTCGAGTCCGTGATCGCGATTTACGCCTGTTGCCACCGGATCCCTGATTCATGTTAGTAGAAAGTTAGTAGAATGTCTTCTAGAACATGGTATGGTCAAGCGCAGTTATTCCGAATCAAGTGCACGTGAAGATTCGCAAGGTGCAGTCTTCTTCGGACCATGGCCACGTCCGATCGCGAACTCGAAGTCAGTCGACGGAACGTCGCCATCATAGAAGGCCTGCACCAAGTGAAAATGTGAAAGCTATCTTACTCTTTCCCAGTTTTCGTACCCCTGCGCACGTAGTGGAAGCTCCTCCTTTATTGAATTCTCGCTTGATCCTAGGAGCGCCAGGCTATGTTCAAATGGTTTTCGTAGTGGGTAGCAGGGTTCTGGAAAGCAACAGCAGATGGGTTGAAGTACGAATTTACTCCCAACTTCTCGCTTACACCTCAACATTTCCGTGAACTCGCACTGCAACTGCGTCAGGAACAGTCGTCAACAAAAGAGAAAAGGATCCATTGCACTAACCGGGGAGGTCTTCCAGGTGATGCCCAGCTTTTTCGAAACGGTTTTTTGCATGATATAGAGGCACGTGCATGAGAACCAGAACTGTGGTTCATTTTTCCTGAGCGACCCTCTGAATACCAAAAAAGGAAAGAAAATTTCTTAAGGAACTGCCGTTCTTAACTTTCTTCACCAGTTTTTGGCCAAAGTCTACGTATAAAGGTTGCTGACAGCCCTAACTATAAATATGACATAGTTGTTTACGTCGACGCTATTTTTCGCGAATTTTCGAAACGCCAACCCAAAATGCAAAAATTTGTCACTGTATATTTTAATTTGGAAATGGGCACACTTCAAAGAATGCTGACCAATGGCAAAATCATCGTTCCAGTCAGGATTCGAACCCTCATCTCTTACTGACAAGCAAGTGTGATACAGTCCGCCGTACATTCGGTGAAATTCTTATTATAGCGCGATCTGCGGCCCTAGAACATCATTGATAAAAAAAAATAAGTTAAACTAAAACTTTGGATAATCGAAATGCACCGTGAAAAGTTAGACTTCCCACCTCAATCCCGAGAATGCACAGTATTTCGGAACTTGGTCAGTTCTGCGGTACAGCTAAAATTCAAAAACGTGCAACACCCCGAAATCGCATTTCAGGTCTATCACAAGATACGTGGGCATTCCTCTAGGCTAAGCCTAGCAGCTGAGCACAACTTTGATGAGAAAAGGAAAGTTGCCTCACGCCTTTTTAGTTCCCCTGTATTACGCCTAAAGCTCAGTCTCGTTTGAAACAAGAGATGTTTTGATGTTTTACGCGGTATTGAATGCATTGCCACCAGGATGCCCCCGTTTCTTGCGATAGCGGTGCAATTTCTTTCGTTTTCAGGTATTCATGGATTACGGTGGTTACTTTACCCAGCAAGCGTCCGGTATAGATGGTTCAAATCCGTTCCAACTCAACCCTAACTTCAATCTTAACAACACCGCCGGTTACAGTAATGGGGCTCAGACGCAGATCTACAGCCAGTATGCGAATCCGTACCTAGCTGCCGGTAATCGGTGAGTTTGCTGAATATGCAGAGATTCGCAGCTCCACTGAAGGAATCCACGTTTCAGATCGCTTCAAGGCGACTTCATCCACGCAACAGAATGCCTATCGACAGAGCACGCACGACTCCCTACAGGCGTTCTTCAACACTGGTGAGTAGATCGTGCTATCCTTTGGTGGCTTCGTATCGCCTGTTCTTGGGAAAAAGCGAGCGTGCCTTTTTTGCTCAGAAGGTCTCGTCAAATTTCCAGGATAACAGTCTTCTGGAAATTGTGGAAGCAAGTTAAGAAAAATTTGAGCAAAAAAAGCTGAAAAAATGGTTTAGTTATCGCTTACGAGGGGAGACGATATGAAACTGCTGAGCCTCGAACAAGGATTGCATCAAAGGTTCACGGCTCTCTGTGACTGCATCAGCAGTGTAGGACTGCCTCGCAATTCCCTTCTCCGATGTTGCGGCCCTCTTGACGAAATTTCCCACTGAAGTACTGTGATAAAGTGTAGTGAGCATGACTGTCTCTTACCAGGGCAGGCCTTCAACATTCCATAAATTTCAGCATTTGCCGTTGATCAATCCCTTTTGGGATGCGGCACGCATTCTACTTCCATTTGTACATTCGTAGTGGCGTTTGAATGCGATGTGGCCTATACAATGACTTGCGGGGGCCAGCCGATGTACAAGTCAGTGTTTTTATCCTCCCAGACAAGTCTGGTACCAATTAACCGACCCCGGAGGGATGGAAGGCTTGGTTGGCCCGGGCGAAAAGATTGCTGGCAACTTTCTTGGCGAGTTTAAGTAGCAGTTTTGGTGCTCACATTAGTAGCCAAGATACTGGACTCTATCGATTCGCCTAGGTCTCAGTTCAAGGTTCCATGGGTTTTTGAAAATGTTTCCTGGTTAGGTGAGGCCCAAAAACCGATACTACGCCTTTTTGTGCCATGGAAAGTTGCTGCATTTGCACTATCTCTACAGTACGCCGCTCATGCGCTCCGAAAACGTGAATTCGCACTTTTTTCATTTTTATCGAAATTTAGGTCTTTTCTATCTGTGAATTCTTCCACAGGATATATCGTCACGTTTGTTCGACAATATGAGTGCTGTATTCGATTTCGTCAAATTCTGCATTACGGTAGTCCAAAATCTGTAGAACAGTATTTTTTCAATTCTCGATTCCACCAATTCTCTTGATGGTACGGCGATCTCTTAGCGTTTTCGTCGAATAACTGTTGGAAATCAGTGCCTAAATGACCGTGCCCCCTCGGAAGACACCGTCCCTCTCCCTTTACTTCTTTTGAAAATTAGGTGCGTAGCGCAATGAATGTAAAAAGACATAGTTATGAACAACGGGAAATCAGCACAGTGGAAGCTACTTCCCTTTGACCGTGCAACTACGACCCACGCCTCGGCCATCCAAGGCTGCCTGGCTGCATTTGGTCGAACCGGAATTCAGACACGGCGGTTCGCTGAACGTTGAAGAGCTGCTACGAGTAACATATATTCAACTAGGAAACGAGCTGAATTAGTGGCAACAAGTTTCTGGGAACAATCAAAAGGGAGTCGTTTATGTGCAGGAAAACGGGAAAAAAGCAAAGCCCTTTTCTACACGTTTAAACCCGGAACGATCGCGGCAACTACTGTTGACTTCAATAGGCTTCGAAATCGGGATTCTTTTCTTTTTTGATATCATAGCAGCAAAACGGGCTCTTATGAATTTTGATGGGTTTTGAGACGAAATTTTCTTGACTTAGAATTCCAAAGCCATCCACCGAAACGTATTATCAGCAACTCTTGATAGAGTGTGGATGAAAAATCTAGGAAATCATAGGATACTGTAGCAGTGCGAGCCCTACAGGCGTAGATGCAGATAGGGTCTGGGTGGCAATGCATTCTGGCTGCATGAAAATTCACCTTTTTCCGTTGAAAACGTGAATAAGCATTGAGCGGGGAGGAGAACTCCAGCGGTTTGACCAATCTTTCCTTAAAGTTCCTGTGCCTTCCTAGGCTTCGTCCTACATTAGAAGCGTTCTTGGATGACTATAGTTATTACGGATAGCGCAACCCTGCACATAGAATATGGGATAAAGCGCTCGGTTTTGGTCGGTCTTCCCGCGAGGCAGCTCGAACTCGCGCTAAAAATCGTGGAATACAGTGTACATTTGTTCAATGAATGGCATGTCATGCTTTTTCAATTGCAGGTTGGAATCTGGTCTTCATACCACGCTCGAAAAGAAAGTTGTATATTCACACTGCCCAAGTGATGCTTCTGGCGGCCATCTGCCGAGTTCTGGGATGTTCCTGAATTTTTAGGTCTTCAATATCAGCTGTATCAGAAATCATCGCTTATGGGAGCAGCTGAAGGTCGAAGTGCCACAAGTGGGATAATGGCCGGCATTCCTGGTTCATCTCTAGTTGGTGAGTGGAATCTGCAAGCGATTTATCCCTAACTAATTGCTGCAAGAGAGATGTTTAGGCGCCCTGTGTGGGAACCCATCAGAGCGACGTAAGCAGCGACGAATTCGGACGACGTTCACGTCTGGTCAGCTGAAGGAGTTGGAGCGGAGTTTCCTGGAGAGCCACTACCCGGATATCTACACCCGGGAGGATATTGCTATGAGGATTGATCTAACCGAAGCCAGAGTTCAGGTATGTAACCTAGATCGGCCCAACTCATCCAAATCGCCTCACAGAAAGAAAATTTTCTAGGTGTGGTTCCAAAACAGACGCGCCAAATACAGGAAGCAGGAGAAACAACGGCGAGCAAAAGAGGAAGGTGAAGACACCGAGAAAAAGTCGGAAGTTGACGACAAAGCTGCCAGCAGTGAAGCTCTATCCGATCTTGTCGACCAATAAATCCCAGTCGAAGACGTTCCCAGAAAACCCAGCTGTACCGTAGTGCCTGACATATGGGGCAGCTTTGATATCTATCGCCAAATGATCCCCTTTCTAGTCAGTTTTGCTTGATGTGCATGGATACAAATGGGAGTCACCTCCTTAGCACCTTAAATTTGTTTGTACATTTTCCCGATATTTTTTCTTAAATATTCATCATGCATGTGTAAAAATGAAGAGATCGATGACAATTCAACTGCAGTCGCCACACACCAACATACACGTGCATACATACAAGCAGACGTGAAGTCTTCCTTCGGATCACCGGCTGATCGAGGGTGTCGGAACCCTCCAGCGGTCTATTCCTCCTCCTCCTTGCGCCGCTTCGCTGGAACGCCACCTTCCTCCTCCTCGCCTTCGTTCGACATCAGCGCAATCGTCACCGCTTGCTCTTTAGCGCCAAACTGAAAATTTACTTAATTAATGGATTCAAAGATCTCTCAGAATGGTTCTCAGAATGCTAGGGAAAGTGACCAAGCTGTGATCAAAAATGAAGCTTGAAAATAAGAGTTTTAAGGTAACCTTGATTCACGTTCTCATCGCCCATAATGAGAATCCTCACCGAAGAATTACTGTAGACGGAAAAATACAATAGAAAAATGTGTGACCACCTTTTTTCCTAATTTTTCAGCCAGTGCCTTCGCCTCCTTAAGATTCCTCTCAACTGTTGCCACTCGTTGGTTTGCTTGATGGGCATTTTTCGACTGGACAATCGAAGTTATACGATACGTGCGCTGCTTGGCATTTCGCCGTCTGAAATACCGTCGCATATCGGTCTCAGGTCTCATAGAAGATGGCTATGCGCAGTACAACTAAGCCTGATGTATGGACATTCATAGGCCTCAAAATTATGACGCAGCCTCCATTCTAATTTTTAAAACAATGCACAACATAATGCCAGTTCAAACGGTCCTCAGAGCTAAACATTTGCTCACTGCCAGTTAAGACAGATCCCATGATTCATCACAATTTCGGTACCTGATATTCACACCGAATTGTGACGGGAAATAGCAGCAATAGAATTAAATGAGAATCTCATAAGGTCAAAGGGATAAGGTCAGAGGTGAGAATGAAGCGAGATAATGTCGAGATGCAGGCGGCTGTCCTCTAAGGATGTAGGACTGTACTACGTTCTGTAGCAGTCCGCATGCGCACAGCGCTAACAGACGCGCCCGCGGCCACGGTGTGCGCTGCCCGCCCTCCGACTGGATAACCGTTGCCGTCGGACTCTAAGGCTGGCAGAGGCCAGCAGGATCGAAAGCACCCATCGGATATCTCGGGAATAACCAGAAAGCCCAGGGTCCAGAATGGATCCCTTATGCCATTTATGACGGATATATTGGGCTAAAAAAGGATTGCATTTCTCCAGTCTGCAGCTAATTTATGTTTTGTCCTCCCCCACGCTTTTATGAGATGCCTTTTATAGAAATTCAAGCGGCTGATGGCAGAGTTGCACGGGTTAATAGCGACCATTCTCAATTTGCTCATGGTTTCACGATTTTAGCTTCATCCTAGTCAAGTGCGACCATATGAGAAAACCCTCCCCGATCCCTTATTTCTGAGCAACATAAGGACGTATGTGGAATCAAGAAGTCAGCCTATTGTTTACTTAGATCCATAACTTCTACGTGGTGAAAGCAAACCTCGATGAGCTCGAGTGTGTCCTCGTCGACGGCATCGGAGAACTGTAGCGCTAGGTAGGACCAACTGCAGAGAATGTCGAGACGATCTAATTCAAATGGTTTCCATAGTTGAACGGCGGCCGACCACAAATAGCTGAAAGAGATGAGAATAATATGACGGCGCAAACAGAGATGGTGAAAGGCACTCGAAGCTTCGTTTGATTCGACGCCACGCGTCCGCTCGCGCCTGTGTGTGGTTGGCACGGCGAGGCATCCGCTCCTGTACTCGAGAAATCTGAAATTGTATAAAATGAAAGCAGCTCAACATCTACAAGTTGTCCAAGGCAGGACAATCGATGATGGTATCATGCAAACCATGCGACGATGAACTGGTGCTGTAGTGGTTGTGGTCACTCGATTCGCATAGTTTGATATCGGCTTCAGGAGAGAATGTTAAGCAAGGAGATGCGCAGGTACACAGTGCTGAGTGTCGAAACTCATAGGTACTTACCATATGGTAGGCGTAGTAGATACTCAGCTGAGAGCTGGACACGACACGAGGGTCTTTCAAACGAGGAGCACGTTCCAAAGCGTCAATCCATTCCCAGCATACCTGAAAAAAGAGGTCCTTGTGCGACGATCAATTTTTCAAGACTCACTCTTCCGCTTGTTGGAGTTGGCATTGTGTGGCAGGAAAGCGCGCAACGAGAATAATGGTCAGAGTAGATATCCTGCCAAAACTCGAATTAAAAGGAGCCACTATTCGGATGGGGTAATGGTGAACACGGGTAGCGATCCTACTAGTCAATAATCATTACTATAAACTCGAACCCAACCATGGGTCGATACGAATTTTGACATTCAGTTGGACTGGGCCTACCCAAACTACCTGAGAAGGGTCAAGTGTGCCTCAGAGCGTTGACTACGGAGCTTAATGCAGACCACGCAACGGCATGGAAGCTCCGTCAGTTACTACTAGATCAGTATCATCATATCTCAGGTTCTATTCTAATGCTTTGCAGAGCGCAAAGGATTTCGAGGGAATAGATTGTGAATCATACCGGACCATCTGCTCTCGTTCTCTGTAAGAGTTTTGCGCTACATGAGATCCCATCGATGGAGAATGCTTCAATCTAGAAGCAACCTCATCGGTTGTTTCCAGAGCGAATATTGAGTAGCTAGTTTCATAATAACAGGGTGTAAGGGCATCAATATCCCTACTATATATAATGCGCTATGTCTGTCTGTCCGTCTGTCACGAAATTCGGTATCAAGCGAACAACAACCTACAGGGTCCAGGTCAAGTTTGGGATGGGTATACCATATCCCTAGAAGTAAAAAACACACATCAGCCAAGCGGAGCCCCGCCCACAGTGGGCGTGGCGTGCATCGGTTGATTCCAAATACAGTCAAAAACAGCCTCGAGACTGGAACAAAAAGTGGTTATAAATGTGCGTCGGTAAGCCAGATTGCATTGGGGAGACCCACCCTCGGTGGGCGGGGCGTTCTCTGGAAAAGCGGTGCTCAATAAAAATATCAATAACTAGGTTAGGAGGAAGCCTACAGAGCAGAAAAGAAATTAGTGCAGGGCAGCGATGTCTAAGGTATTTCCAGCACACATGATGTGAACGGAGGTCCGCCCACAATGGGCGGAGCGTGTCCTGAAGTAGACGACGTTTTCTACAAGAGCTCATAAATCGGCTCTGAGATGACTTGGAAACCTGAAAACAGTGGATACAGGTTAGGAGAAGAGGAGAAGCTAAATGTCAAGGCTGGGCGTAGCTTACACCAAAGTGGGCGGAGTTTGCAACCAGCCTCATAACTCGGTTCCTATGAGTCCCGGGGTGTGGGGAAAAGCGTATAAGTGTTGGCAGAGGGAAGGGGGTCAAGTGCTGTGGGCAGGTGGAGCATGCATTAAAGTGGGCGGAGTTTGCCACGGTACTTCATAACTCGGATCCAATAAGTTCCGGAGATGGGAAAATAGTAGAATGAGGTTGGGGAAGAGATGATAGTCATTTGGTATCGGTGAGCGAGGCATGTAACGAAGTGGGCGGGGTTTACCACAACGATACGTTGCTCGATTTCGTCCCCTACAAGACCTCATAATTCGGCTCCGAGATGACTTAGAGACCTGAAAAAAATACGCCAGAGGTGAAAGTAGGAGTAGAGGTTGAATGTGAACGCTGGGCGTGGCACACCCGGATGTGGGCGGAGTTTGCCACCGCTCTCATAACTCGGTTCCTAGAAGTTCCGGCGACCGGGGAAAATGTGCATAAGTATTGAGGTATGGAGTAGGGTTGAATGCCATTGTTGGGCTAACCATGCACCAAAGTGGGCGGGGTCTGCCTCAGAAATTCGTGACTCATAACGCCATTTACAAGACCTCATAATTCGGCTCCGAGATGACTTAGAGACCTGAAAAAAATACGCCAGAGGTGAAAGTAGGAGTAGAGGTTGAATGTGAACGCTGGGCGTGGCACACCCGGATGTGGGCGGAGTTTGCGGCGTAAGTAAGATGTACCGAGCAGAAAGCTAAAATCAAGACAAAAATACTGATGGGCCCGATTTTACCGCTGCAGCCCCGTCTCATGCACGCGAATGCGTGCGCAGCCAAACTGGTAAGATAAATCATTGAATCAAGGGGCACAACTCGCCGACAGATCCGAGCAATGAGACCCAACACGACTACAGGTTTGTGTTGATGTACTTCGAGTTCACAGGTACTATTAGTGGTTCTGTCCAAAAATTTCCTTTACTCTGCATCTGACACATTTGGGCAAATTTCAATATTGCACTGAAAAACTCACGAAAATTGGCCCAAAACCCGGGAAATGGAGGAAGCCGGGAATTCGCTTCTCTTCCCGTTGTGTTCCGCAATGATGCGAATCAGCATCTCTGCTGCCCTCCTCCACGCTAACGTTACCTGCTTGCTAAAGGGCTAGAGACCTACGGCAGTGATTAGTCAGTCGGTGGGCGTGCCGTGGCGACAGCGGCGCGAGGTAGGTCATGCGTAATTGCTAAAGAGCGCACCTATCGCTGCAGTCCGGCTGTTCTGCCACTAGGTGATTCCCCTTCTCCGACCTCCTCCTTTGACTGACAAATGTACACATGAATGTTCGGACAAGAACTGAAATCTTTGGTGCACTTCTCTTCAAACATGCCCAGCAGTCCGCTCAGTAAGAAAACGAAACTGGAAGCTATGTGACTACCGTAACGCCCGCCCTTCAAGGAGATCATAATGACAGCATCTAACCTCAATAACGCTTTCGTCATAGTGCGATGTGTTGAGAATACAGGCGTAGACGTGATCCATGAGCTCGAGATCTTCCACCCCGAACG